TTTGTATATCTGATTAACGCACATAATCCAACCAACAATATTCCTTCCTTTTCACTTTATTGCCTACTTTTTCTCCATTTTCTATTTAAATAATCAATTTATATCAAACACATGAGATTAATGATATTAATAATTCAATAACGTAAGAACATTTCTTCACATTTTACCATAAAGATGAATATGGTATATTTAGTGACGTGGGCTTAATCGGATTAATTAGAGTATAACTTATATAGATGTCACATAGTGCGAAACTCATTAAAAAAATATCAAAATTTATCCTATTTTTCATTAAGTTTATTATGATCGTACGCTAATTTCTTTTAGCATAAATATTCTTTAATGAACTAATAATTACATAGCTAACTAGAGATGGTTTTTGTGAATTAATTAATAATTAAACTACTTTTGTACTAATCTCATTTTATTTATTTAATTTTTAAGATATATTAAAAGGCATTTATGTTAACCGCCGGCCGCCCAGTCTATTTTCAAAAAGGAGAAAAAAAAAAAAAAACCGACCGACCAATGAGCAGCCAAAATAAATATATATAAGTTGACGAATGAAGCTCTCCAATTTTTGTATTTTATTTATTTCAATCGTCAAATGTCTTGCCTTTTTCAAAAGTTTATCTAATTTTGTTTTTTTAAATTATTTAAAAAAAAAAAATGAAGGGGAGGTTACATTAAAATTTTAAGTTAGTTGGGTTGGTGGGACGAAAATAAATATTAAACTATTATAATGTATATCTAAAAGAAAAAAAAATGCAGCCTAAAAATTTTGTGAAGATGCATTAAAATATGTTTTGTTTTAAAAATCTAATCTTTTTGTTTTGGTTGACATTAAATAGAGTTTCAAAAAAGGAAAAAAAAGAGGAAATGGTTAGCCTAAAACAGAAAAATGGGTTTAAATTAAAAGTGGCGTGGCTATTATAATAAAAAAATGATTTATTATCATATTTAAAAAGTTTTAGTTTATATTATCTACCTGAATTTTCAATATTCAATTTTTTTTTTCAAAATTCCAACCCTCTTTTGGGACTATATGAGTATATGAATGAACTGAGACCGTATCTGAATAAAAGCGATCATAATGATAAGATGACTAAAAAAATTTACAAAGAATTGAAAGTTAATTGTGTATATTAATAAGGTGCACATTTCTTTTTTGTGGCTCAATCATAAAAATTCAAATTTTCTAAGGATTCAGGTGAGTGAGAACAAAAGATGCTGGAATGACCCATGTTATTGGTTAGTCTCGATTCTGAAGTAATGAGTAAATAAACTGACCATGTCGATAAATTGAAATAACAAAAGGAGTACACAGGTATGAAACTAAAGTCAACAGGTATGAAACTAAAGTCAGCAAAAGAGACATTAATGTTTGAATTTGGTATATCAAATCCATGATAAGCTTCACCGTTAATTTGGGTATGAAACTAAAATCTTGAATATTAGATTAAAAATTAAGCTTAATATTATTCACAATATCATAATTAAGTTAATTATAAGAATGAATATGTAGACATGTTTTAATCTTTAACATTGTAATAAAAAGTAGATAGAATAATAAAGCAATGGTAAAATCTGGACATCCATTAACAAAAAAATAACATTATCAACTCCATTTTTAGGATCGAAAGCAACACAATTTTAGAATATTGCATGCAACGCCCGCAGGTTCTAACTCTCTCAACACATGTGCTTATCCATTTTATACCTAAAAACTTTTAATTTAATTCATATGTCACACACATTAGATCTTATCCAACTGATTCTTCTTAAAAAAAAACCACCCCATTAAATCAAAGATTAAACTAGCAAAATCCCACCTAGCTTTATTACCCAACTTTGGTAACCATCTTTACAATTAGTTAGTACGAATCGTGGTGAAAAGTTTAAAACTTATCCATAACAAAACGAAGAACATTTGATCGAAAACATGTGTTTTACCTCGTTGAATTATATCAATTTGGATTGAGTTTGAAGATGAGGAATTAAAATTTAAAATAAGGAAGAGATGGTGTATTCATACTCCCCTCCCTCGTTAGATTCTTTGTCTTTTCCGATGCATCAGCCCCACTCATTGTATCAAAAGCCAAACTACTTCAAGTTATGCGTCACATTTTGGATTTTTTCATCCATTTCCATCCTTTTAAGAAAGTTGTATACATTGGTTGACAATATCTCATTTTTATTTTAAATTTATTAGTTAACTCGTAAACATTCTAATACGTAAAAGAGATTTTACATCGGTTGTAGAGGAGAACGAAACGTTTTTTTGTGTGAAAACTTCTTCTTACTAGATGCATTTTAAAAATAAGTTCATATAGAACAATATCTATTAGGAGTGAGCTTAGACAATATTGACTCAAAATGTTTATATCATTTTCTTAATTCTTAATTCTTAATTCACACCCATCCTATGAATGGGAGGAGGTAAAGGCTATAAATAAAAATGGGATGATGAGAGGGAAGTGAAAGAGGCAAATAGGATCAGAATCAGAAATGTGGAGGGCGGTGAAGTTGTTGATTATTATGGCATGGGTTGTTTGTGGGAGGTGGTGGGTGGTTGAAGGGCGGCGTTTGGGTAGAGATGTAATCCGGAAAAGAAGCGTGAGGGAAATGGTGGAGGCCTTGAATGAAGCTGCCAAAGGAGTTGGAAATGAGCGCCGGGCAGCGAGATCGAGCCCCGGAGGACCTGACCAGCACCATCATTAGAGTCTTCACAACATCCTCAAACCATGTTTGACCTTAAATTTGAAGCTGCGTTGTTGAGTTTTGTCTTTTGTTTTCACCGCTGTTTCCTCCTCCTCCTCCTCCTCCTCCCACGTTGTCGCTTAATAATAAATGATGTGTTTAGTTGCTTCAACTGCCAAACTTCCTTATTCAATTAGTCAACTAACACCAAACACCAAGTTTTAGCACTATTTTACCTAACATTTTGTGGTAATATCCATCATCATATCTTTAACGGTCCGATGTTTTATTTTATCAAACTATGATCAAATTGATATCTATACGATAAACTAAGAAAACGACTTTTTTAGCACAACAACGTGGAGGTTGTCACGACCGTACCTTTTGTACTATGCGGCGTCATGATCTTACAAACTCGTGACAAGTTTTAAGAGGAATTCAAGTCCCATTTACATTTTTTTCTTGATTTTACCGTTTTGTCAAACCTTAGGCAAGATTGTCCTTTGCCGATCCAGCTTAACTACTCATGCGTAAACTAAGCTTGCTTATTGCAACTCTACCTAACTTGTCTCTACTCTAGGCCAAGTCATTTGACTCGACTCACGCTACATCTACTCTAGGTCAAGTCTTTTGAATTGTTGAGGATTATTAGGAGTGAGTCCCACATGGATTAATTTAGTGGAAGATCTTGGGTTTATAAGTGAGGAATACTATTTTCATTGGTACGAGACTTTTTGGGAAGCTCAAAGCTGTTGGATGATGGAAGTCCCACATCGACTAATTTAGGGTGTCATCATGGGTTTATAAGTGAGGAATACTACCTCCATTGTTATGAGGCCTTTTGGGGAAGCCCAAAGTAAAGCCATGAGAGCTTATGCTCAAAGTGGACAATATCATACCATTGTGGAGAGTCGTGTTCGTCTAACAAAAGCAACGTCAATGAGAGCTTATTCTCAAAGTGGACAAAAAAGGTGTATCAACTTTGAGTAAAAGCGAAAGGCTTTGGCGTCGACATGTCGTTTCCCACTCCTTAGAAATCGAAGCCTGTGGATTTGCTATGGCTGACGAGACACTGCACCTTACCCCAAATTTTACTGCCTCTTCTATCATAATACTTCCAATTTTTCTTTGCTGTTTAAAAGCAAAAAAGGAATTCCGGCATTTGTTTCATTCCGAAAATATTATTTTAAACCTCCAATTAAATTTTTTAAAATTACTTTAATTGCTGATTGGATGGAAACGTGTTCTACTGCTCCACTTTGCTGGAGGATTCAATATGGAAGCTGAGAGATCAGATTCTGCCAAGCTCACCAACCAAAAGCTGTCGGATGGTCTACTGCTGACTGCTGAGTAATAAACACTTTGCCGCAAACTCAAAGTGAGATCCCTCTGCCGTAGTAGAGGGTATCGAAACCTCTACTTAATAGACGTGTTTTAAAACTGAGAGAAACACTGGAAAAAGAAGTTCAAAGAGGACAATATCTGCTAGCAGTGAACTTCAATTGTTATAAATGGTATAGAGCTGGACAACATGCCAATAAAGAGATTAAGCCTCGAAGGAGTGGACACGAGGCAATGTGCCAGTAAAGGCGCTGGGTTTCGAAAGGAGTGGATTGGATGTCCCACATTCATTGAAAAAGGAAACAAGCGTCAGCAAGAACGCTGGCCTCAAAAGGAAAGGATTCCGTACCTACATAAAAAATGTTTCATTCCTCTTCAACCAACGTGAGATCTGCTAACATGGGTTGCTACAAGCGGTGGACATAAGTTATTACAGAATATATATGCAACGGCCCAGATCCACCGCTAGTAGATATTGTCCTCTTTGGGCTTTCCCTTTCAGGCTTTAAAACACGTGTGCTAGGGGAAGGTTTCCACCTCCTTATGAATGGTGTTTTGTTCTCCTCTCCAACCAAACACCATTTACAAGGGTATGAAAAACTTCTCGTTTTAAAGCTTGAGGGAAAGCCCAAAAAAGATAATATTTATTGGCGGTGGATTTGTGCGGTTACAATATACGAAGTAAGGGAATTCTCCCATGAATTCTAGTGAGCCTATAACTACTAGTTCAAAACCAAACATTAAACGTAACTTCCAAATTATAGGATGTCACAGCCATGCATTGAGAAATTAATATTATTAATGGTGAGACATTTTTAGTACAAAGAAATCAAGTTATTTTGTTATTTGTTTCGTTTGGCTATGATCATTTTTTCAACCATTAGAATGCAGGTAGATGAATAAATTTGACACTAGTCAATCCAAGTATATGCAAATCAGCGAAGAAGATTACAACAAAGTAATGCAAACAAGACTGCTAGTTGCAGAGATAAGTTCAGGAAAGCCAATTCATTTGACAAGTAGATCACTATGAAATGAAGCTATAGAGGCAAATGGGTAGAAGCTAAATTGAATAAACCAGAAGTTTGATTCCTAAAATTCTATGTTTGTAATCACAACAGCCACAAATCATCCACCCTTTTACACTATCATATCCATTCATCTGCTCCTATTCTGTGTACCATCCCTGTTACCTGTTTCTTATTTTGTGTTGTTGAAAAATGAGAGAAGTAAGTTGATTTGAGGCTCACATGGTTAAAAGAGCCGCATACATGAGCTGGTTCCATGTATCAGGCAATCCAGGAAGGCACCAGTGGCTGCAATCCGTCCCAGAGATCTCGCCGCTATAACCAGCAGGATGAGCGTCTTTCCTCAGCTGAGACAGAGTGGTGATATCCAGCAAGTAAACCGGCACTTTTATCCTACTCAACACTCTATTTACAACATCCACAGCTGGTGGCGCGCCCCCCGGATACATCGATCCGGTTAGCGGCTCACTCTCTCCATTACAGTTCTTTTTGGGCTCATTCCATTCCTTCCCCCTGATTCAATGATTTTCAACATTAACAACACACCAAAATGGAAGAATCATCGATTGAAGGTTAAATTTGACACTCACAAATAGTGGGTAGGCGAGATTCCTTGGAAGAAGACCTTTGTTTTTGTAGGATCGACATTGAGGTCAACCCATCTGGCCCATGTCGTCAATCCCTTGTAAAATGCTACCAAACGGTCCATGTCTTGAGACAGTGTCGTCCCATCCTGTATCAAATCCCACCTGCAAAATTACACGACCTCTTCTTCATCCTTGTTGTAATCCCAGAAAACACTCATTTTTTTTAATTTGAATTTGATCTTACGCCTGAGAGTTTCCTGTATGGGTCCACCAATGCCAGGAGTTGAAAACCAGAACGTCCATTCCTAGCCACGCCTTGCCGGCCTCGATGGAGTCTAGTTTCAGTACTCGCCCTACGTCCTCTTTCACTATGTCCACAAGATATGGCGTCCGATACAGGAGCAGTGTTACTCCATAATCCTGTCCCCACACAACGTTTTACATTATTCACATCAACTGACTTAATATATGTAATATCCACCAATATGTTCAAAGTTCAAATCATTATGTATTGTTGGAACTTTAAAATATCCAAAATAAGCTATGTAAGTACTTGAACCCAGACAAAAAAAATAAGATTAAAATCACATGTAGCATAAGCATATGCGGCTTTGGTTTGTACTTTCCCAAAAGGCCTAGTACGAAGGGAGATAGTATTCCTTACTTATAAACTCATGTGGGACCCACTCCCAATAATCCTCAACATTCTTCTCTTCGAACAAAGTACCCTGTAAGCCTCCCCTTAATTGAGGATCGACTCCTTTCTCTGGAGCCCTTAAACAAAGTACACGACACTTCAGTCACTTTTGACTACACCTTCGAGGCTCACCCCTATCTCTGGAGCCCTCGAACAAAATACACCCTTTGTTCGACACTTTAGTCGCTTTTGACTACACCTTCAAGGCCCGACTCCTTTCTCTGGAGTCCTCAAACAAAGTACGTCTTTGTTCGACACTTTAGTCACTTTTGACTATACCTTCGAGGCTCGACTCCTTTCTCTAAAGCCCTTGAACAAAGTACACAATTTGTTCGACGCTTTAGTCACTTTTGACTACACCTTCCAGGCTCACAATTCTTTGTTCGATATTTGAGGATTCTATTGACATGGCTAAGTTTAGGGCATGGCTCTGATATCATGTTAGTAATCACAAATCTCCACCGTATAATATTGTTTACTTTGACCGTAAGCTCTCATGACTTTGATTTGGGATTTTCAAAAGGTCTCGTACAAATGGAGATAATATTCCTCACTTATAAACTACTCACTCCCAATAATTCTCAACATTTATCATAATTTTTTAATAAATTCATGTCGAAATTTATGAAAAAAATATTAGAAGGAAGCTAAATACTAAAAAAATTATCAATTTTGAATTGATGTAATAATGGTTTATTTAGAAAAAGATCAAAATCGAGAGTGCGTATTGTCAGCGAGATTGGGCGAAGTTTGCCAATCACAGGCTGTCAGCAACATAATACACGTGGCCACCGAAAATTGGAGGCTCATGTGGGGCCATTGGCGGTGGACCAATCAAATAATTCGGATAGAAAAAAGAGTTTGAGATTACATTAAAATACTAACATATAATGTCCAATATCACAATAAAAATAATTTATTTAAATTAATTTCCAAAATAAATATTTCCCACTTTCAAAAAAATTTAATTAAAAAATGAAATGTAATTTGATTAATTAAGGGGAGATTATTAAAGACATTATGATGGTTGGACAAACATTGTGCGCAAAACCTGAAAGAAGACGGAGGAGATGGAGTCCCTCCGGAAGAAGGTGGTTTTGGCGTTGGGCGCCGCCGCTAGCAGCATACACGAAAGCGATTCCCACATATTCAGGCTCAGTGAGTCTCCCACGAACATTATCTTCTTCCCACTCCATCTCTTCAGAACATCCACTCCGTCAAATCTGCAAATCCACAGACTCATCATTAATGAACAAACCGAATCATTAATAAAGATTACAGCGAGAGAGAGAGAGAGAGAGAGAGAGAGAGAGAGGACCTTGGAAGGGTACATGAGTCGGGTCGCCACGAGTATTTGAGGTAAAGAGTATCGGGTCTGCCATATTTTTGGCAATTAAACTCGGCGTCTATGAAAGGACAGGTGGAGGAATTGTAAAGAGGGAAAGAGGGGTCTACTACCCATTTTCCCTGAAACAGATTACACCCACTCGCTTGCTTTCTTCCTTTTAATGTGTTGAATCCTGCTGCGTTTGCTTGCTGCACTGACACAAACCCAGAAGCTTGAAGAACAAGGAGTAGACTTAAAATCACTCCCACTACCCCAAAACCCATTTCTTGGATTTTTGGCTCCAAAAAGACTTTGATTGGGCTATGAATGTGAAGCTTTTAGTAGCCCTCAAGTGAGTTTATGTAAGGAAATGGAGGCCGGAGAGAGAGAGTGAGGGACAGAGCTCTCAATCACATGATTTGGTAACGTGGGTTGGGAAAAATGATTGAAATAAAAATGGATTGAAAAAGAAAACAATTTAAAATTGGGAGATTTTGCACAGCTCGTGAAGAGGGAAGAAAAGGCGTAGGACTGCATGTCACGGGGCCGCATATTATTACACTACCCACCGATGCAAGTGGAATCGAGGACACATGGCTTTCACACGTCATATGTTGTTTCTTGATTACCATTTAAAAAGTATATCTGGGTATTCATGTTTTTTTTTTGTAGCTTCAACATTATATTTTGGTGTATATTTCATGGTTCAAGAAATTGTTTAATAAATGTACGTATACCAATTTGGAGCTCTAAAGTGAAATGAAAAGAAAGGAAGCAATTGCAATGAAAGTGGGTTTGACTATTTGGGAAAAGAAATGAATTGAACATATTTAATTAGAAAGAAAAAGATATAAAAGATGAAAGATTTAAGGGTTTGTATAATAGGGTAAAAGAAGGAAAACAAATTGGGGAGAGTGGGTCTAAAATGTGTTGGGCTTTTACCTTGGCGTTGGGGGTTGCAGTATGCAGGGAAAGTAGGATTTTGCAGGCTGTGCCTGTGGGTGTGGGGACACCCTATCAAAGAGTCAACATCCCAACAAAGAAAAGGTAATGGTGGAGACCCACCTCAAATGACCAATTACCCATTCCCCCAAAACTCCAAATTTGTTTAGAAAAAGATGGAGACGCACCGTTCCTGTTTGTGAGACTGTCCTAATTTCACCTCATTGGAAGAAAATAGGTTTTAATATCACACTAAGATAGAGACGAGGGAAATAAATACAAGATTAAGTTGAATGATTTGGCCTAAGTGTACATGCAAGTCGGACGTGTCGCAAATGATTGAACACGCATGTGTAGGCAACGTGTGTGGCCAAACATTCTTGGATTCTGCATTAGTTGTGTTCAGTAGGCGAAGACAAAATTCGCCTAAGGTCTGAGGAAGCCAGAAAATTGGACGAAAAAATGTACATTGGACTTGAGTTTTTCTAAGTCTAGTTGTGAATGTGTCAAGATCACAGCACCGCACCATTAAAAAAGGACGCCTGTAACACAAAGCAAACATTCTACCATTTGAGCTACATCCCAAATTGAATATTTTAGGCAATTTAAAATAATAATAAAAAATCAATTACTTGTCAGTTACAAGTATGTTATAAACCCTCCTCAGAAGATTTGAATTGGGGTGTCTCCTTTTCCACATGAAACTTAAAGTTTTCGAAGGCGCCAAAGGCTTCTAAAAAAGAACAGGAAACCCATGTTTTCCTCCTGAAATCGCCTGTAGAAGTAACGGATTTGCTATTAGAAATGAACTTTCTTGGTCCACAATTGTCGGTATGAAGTAATAATTGGAGGGGATTTGTGTGACTCTCGAGTGCTCCTCTTTGGATATGAATCCCTGTATTTCTTTTCAAGCAATTTTTGCTGAAGAAGAACCTTGGTTGGTCATGTTGATATCTTTCATCCTATTCACTTTGAACAATGGGTTGTTCGAGTACCTAATTTTTGGCCCAGTCGCTGCCATGATCTGGGAAGAATGTTGATGTAGTAACCATCCCTGGTGACTTTGCAATTGATATTGGCAGGAACGTCATTCATGGAAATGATTTGATGAAGAGTGCGAGGAAGGACATTGCCGTGGTTCCGAATGGACCTATAACAGACAGGATCTAAAAGAAGGAAAACAAGTTGCTGTGGCTTTTTTCATGTCTATCTCACTCTATTTTTTCTTCTGCTTTTTCATCGTGAGATCTCTATCTTTTTGGCGTAAATACACGCATATTTTCATGGCTGTAAATATTAAAATTGTGCTTGATGGCTTATTCAAACAAACAATAATTGATATCTCCACAAGTAATGCTGTGTATCAAAATCTCAAATATTTTTCCGTTGCCATTGGCTTCTGCCTCCTTGGTTATGGGGGTATTTTGTAGCTAACAACTTCAAAATAGAGCGCTTGCCCCCATGAGCTTTTACAACAGATATCAATGACACGATAAACCCATTAAAATCAATGTAGAAGGATGAATCAGAACAAGAAAAAAATATAGATAGATAGAAGCATAATCAAACGAAGTTTCGGGCGACTAGGAAGGGTTTTTTCATGTCCCTGAACAATCTTATAGATCATAGTTTTAATATATTAATAGAGTGAACTACTTGGGTAGGAATCGATCAAACTTGTTTGTAAAGATCGCACCTTGTATTCTTCAAGGGCAAGTAAAAAGCCAGACGCTAAAAAGAGGGTCTGCTCCTGTAGTGCATTCCATAATGTTCATATGAAGAACATGCCAAATTATCCTTGCCATTGGATAATTGATATAAGGATATACGAGAGTTCAAACCTGAAACAATAAGGGGTTGGTTGTAGCATAGTCAAGTGCGTTCGTACCCCTGCATCCCATACGCAGTCATTTAAACCTGTTCTGTTATACGTGATCTTGTATATCTTGCAATCAACTTTGCTAGAGTTTGGATCAAAGATTTTGGATCGAATACTACGCCAACTTTAGAATCCCGTACGGAATCAACAACAATCTGCAGAAATGACATTTTAATCATGCACCAAAATAGCACAATTAAGGCAATTACTCATCATTAGTAGTAATAACTGCAATCCAACACTGAATAAAAAGCTTTGTCAAATCTGTGCCCTCAGAAGTCATAAGTCTGCTGGACATGTCATCAACTAAGATGCTTATTCCGATTGCAACCAAAAGCAAGTAATGATGATACTAAGTTACTAGCAACGGAAATGTACTCGAGCATACCACATCAAAGATTCCTTGTGCAGCCAAGGCTTGACAATCTATTGGAATCTCACCATCTTTCGGCACCAAAATGGTATTGATGTACTGGTCCGACTACATATGTAAGAGGTTGAAACAGAAACGTTTTCTTATGTGACCAAACAATGTATTTTCTGAAAGTGAAACTTAAAACTATCAAAACTTGAGTAATACGACCGAGCAGAAATAGTTGTGACCAGATGATTACCGAAGGCATGATTCATTCATTTAAATTTGTGCTTCGAAGAATGAACTTACAGTGTTATTTAAACAATTATGCTTCTCTCCATAAGTTCTATTTAAAGCATCTGAAATGGCAGTCGTAAAACAAGAAGCGGTGAAACCACTAGTCTCTCGATCATGTGTGCCATTCAATAGAAGCACCTGTCAATGGAATGATGCAAATCCATGCCACATGTTTTAATTGCACATTTAAGATTCAGTGCTAATTAATGGACGAACTAACCCAAAAGGGAAAAACTAAAAGCACAAGGGGATTTTTTTTTTTTTTTTTTTTTTTTTTT